TACTAATATATAGGTAATAGTTAATATTATAATATATATATTAATTTATAGCGCCTATATATTAACTCCCTATACATAATAAGATATATATTAGACCTTAATAAGTAAAGAACTTTATATAATAATAACCTTAATTAAAAATATAACTCTAATAGTAAATTAACTATTAGAAGGCCTTAGTTGAGAATCTTATAATTATATAAAGCTAGTTTATACTTTTATAAAATATAATTATAAAGTATAAGGTATAAAATTATAAAATTTATAATTTTAACTAGACTAGCTTCTTAATAGAAATACTATTATATATAAAGGTTATTATAACTTTTAACTAATATAAAAGGCTTTATATAAAGTAGTCTAGTAATTATAAATAGGTTTTTACTATTTAAGGTATATATATAAATAGCTAGGTAATATCCTTATATATTATTATAAAAAGTAAATATTACTTTCTATTATAATACCTCAATAGTAAACTTCTAGCTATAACATATATAATAAGTAAGCGCACTAGATAAGTAAGCGCGCTACCTAATTATAGCTACCTTATAAATATAACTAAGAAGTAACTATAAAATAATAAATTTAATTTAAACTATTTAGAATCCTATTCTTTAGATATTTCTTTATTAAACTAGTATATTTATATATTATATCTAGTGTTCCTATAGGTGCTATACTACTATTTACCTATTATTATCCTTAATATATAACTACTACTCTAACGTATTTCCTCCTTAATCTAGGTTATTACCTCTCTCTATAACTAAATATCCTATATATTAGCTACACTAAGACCTCCTTTTTACCTTAGATAAGTTTTTTTACCTTTTTATATTAGTTAAGTAGGTTATTCTTCTTATAAAAAGTTTTAACTTTAGCTTTTAATAAAGTATTTTTTATATATAATTCCTAATACTTCTTTAAAAATATATTTAGTAGCTATTAATATATATATTAAGAAGCTATCTAGATAATTAATAAAGTAATTCTTAATAAAAGTTTCTTTAGAAGATATCTTTATTATATTATATAGTGTCTAGGAAGTCTAAGCTAGTAGTGTTATTAGAAGGGATCTTAAAGGTATTAAAGTGTATAACTTAATATCTAGCTTTAATAGCACACTTTTTAGACTTAAAGGGATAAGCCTTACCCCTCTAAAGCCTCCTTAAATATTTACTTTTATAAGAGCTTACTTAAAGGCGTTATAAAATACTAAAAAAAAGTTATTTTTTATAATATAAGTATTACCTTATTATATTTTATTTTTAATTTCTTAACTATATACTAGCTTTAAAGGCCTAAAACACCTAATATCTAAGAGCTAAAGTAAATAAGATAAATAACGTAGTATATAAAAAGTAATAATATTATTTTCCTTATAATATAGCTTAAAGTCTATAAAATAGTAACTTTTATACCTATTAATAATAAAAAAGTAATATTTCTTTTTTATATATAACTTTAAATATTAATTAAAGTACTAAAGCTAATTTAAGCCTTTTTTATTTATTATCTATTTATTTTTAGACGTTATAATAACCTAGTTAGGTAGAAGACTAGATTTTATATACTAACTAGAGAGAAGATTTTTACCTTTAATAGTAATATATAGTAGGACACTATAACTAGATAAACTAATAGCCTAAATAACTATAACTTATTCTTAATTTCTAGGCTATACTATTTTTATATTTAAACGTCTCTTAGAGCTTATAATAACTATTTTAAATATAATTTAGCCTATTATAAAGCTAGTCTTATTAAAGTTATAGATATTAAACTTTATAATACTATATTTTATAATTATATTTACTATAAAGTAAAACTATATATTTATTATGTTTAGATCTTTATATTTAGCCCTTTTATAGTTATACTTATAAAAAAAATACGTTTAGAGCTTTAGTGTTTATTTAATAAAGTTTAAGGCCTAGTGCTTACTAACTAAAGGTATATTATAGTTAGTAAGTAGTTAATTAGCTATTTCTTTAACACTACTAAGGTAAAGAGGAAATAATTAGGAATTAAGGTTAAGAATAAACTTAACTAGCTTCCTCTCTTTAAGTTCTATTAAATTCTATAAGTTAGGTATAATATTATATTATAATAGTGTACCCTTTATTTAACATATTACTAAATTATAACTAACGTTATATATCTTTACTATAGCTTAAATACTAAGTTTTAGATCTTTTTTATACGCTTAGACAGCTAGCTGTACCTAGGCTTTATTATAAGTTAATTTTATTATTATTAGTAGAGAAATAAAAGGGAAAAGTTAGATAGTTAGATAGTTATAGTTTAGTAGCGCGCTTACTTATTTAGTGTGCTTACTTATTATATAAGTTATAGTATATCTACTTAAGTAAAAATAAATAGACTATAAATAAGATAAACTTAAATTAGCTAAAGTACTTTAATTAGTATATAAAGTCTTATGTAAAAAGTACTTATTACTTTTAATTCTAAATAGCTATAATAACTATAAATATACCAGATTTAATAAGTACTATATAAAAAAAGAAATTATTACTTTATATATACTTTCTTATTATTATATAACCTTTAGTCTCTTAAATTAGCTATTTTAGCACTTTAAAGTACTTATATGGTAAAGAAATTAAACAAATGATATAAATATAGATTCTATATATTACTAAAGATAACCTTTTTCTTACTTTTAAAGACTTAGATATAAAAGCTTATATAACTATAACCTTATATTTAAGCTTAAATTTAACTTTATTTATAACCTTAAGATAACACTACTATATATATATAAGACATTTAGTATAATCTTTTCTTCTAGATATAGACCTATAGAGATTTACTCTCTATAGTACTTTATCTCTAAGAAGTATAAAAAGTAGATATATATAAATAGTAACTAGATCTACTCTAGGGTACTAAAAATAGAAATATCTACTTATATAAAACTAGATATTAAATAGACCGTATTATGCTATAACAACCTGTAATAAGTAGTGTAACAGGCTGTAACTAGCTCTAAACAAGCTATAATAATACAAGGTTTTAAATCTATATAATAGCATAATATAATAAGGGTTAATATATATATATTACTAGAAATATAGAAGTTAGTTTATTATATATAGAGATAGATCTCCTTATAGGATTCTAGCTCTCTATACTTTCTAAGTATAATATAACTATACCTATCTTTCTACCTATCTATCTAGTTAACTTACTAATCTACCTATTATTTCTTATTTAAAGTAGTATTCTTTACTTTAATAAAAAAAGAAATATATAAGCTAGCTTTAAATAGGCTAACGTTATACTTTTTAACCTTAAAGTAGTTATTTTTTACTCTAATTTTAAACTAAATATACTAATACTTATTAGCTTATATCTAACTAGCTTAGGCTTATAAGACTTAAAAATACTAATAATAGTAATTAAAGGTATATAAAGCTTTACCTTACTAAAAAAAAGATTAAAGACTGTTGAAGAAGTTTACTAATACTAATATATAAGGTAATTAACTTATAGTTAAAAGGTATTAATAAGTTAGTATATTAACTTACTATTATTAAGGTAAAAAACTTATAACTTTATATAAAGATAAAAGTACTTAGTAAGTACTAAAGGGCTAAGAAGACCTAACTATATCTTATAAGGTTACTTAATATAGTAAAAGTAAAGGCACTATAAGGGAAAAAAAGGTATTAATACAAAAGATAAGAAAATATCTTAAAAAATAGGTTATATAAAGAGTAATAACCTATATATATAATAATATAGTAATTATAAAAAGACTAGATATAATATATAAGCCTATAAGGTAGTTTAAGATAGTAAAAAAGAAAATAGTAATAAGTACTTTTAATTAATCTTATATATTATAGCTTAATTCATTTCTAAAAATAGTAGAAAGGTAAGAGGAAGTAGTCTACTTACTATATAAGTATATTAGAAAGTAAATTATATATTATAAAGTATACTTACTAAAGGCCTAAAGCTAGGTAGTATATAAACTTAAAGGCTTATAGGTTAGATATCTATAGTATTTATTTCAAAATCTACTTTATAACTAGAATATCTAGACCTATAATTAAAAATATCTATTTAGATTTAACTATTTTACTTATAGATTACACATACTTAAAAATCTATATCTATAGGATCTATTAACTATATAGATATATCTACTAGATCTATAGACTGTGTTATATAGAAATCTATATAGATATCTTTAGATATTTTTAACCCTACGGGCCACTACCCAGGGACAAGGTGCTCGAATCGCCCTCATCCATACTCTAAAGCCCCGGCACAGCAGGTATCTCATTTCCTGTCTCTGTGCTAGACCTTATACTTGAGGGTCTTGAAAACCCTCGCTCCCGCTAGAGTCTGACTTGTTCAGGCAGTAACGGAGAGCGATTACAGCGTGCTCCTGCATCGCCATCAGCTGGGAGCCGACTCGCTGTACGCCTTCCTAGCTTCGCTCTAATGCCAAGTGGGGAGAATAAAGGCGCAGAACCACATCACGACCGACCGTACTAGGCTTTTCCCCTTGTGGTTTTTCCTAGCACTATCCGAAATACTTTCCTTATGGACGAAGCGACTCGGGAAAGGGATGGCGGATAAGAGAATTCTGGCCAGGTTAGAAGATCTGCTTCATCTTGTAGTGGTTCGAACAGGAGCGTTAGGTCAAGACGTAGCCCTGTAACATAGTTTAGATTAGCATAGACCATGTCGGCTTTGCGCCCGGCACGTCTCTCGTCGCTCGAGACGTTGAATCTACCAACCAACCAACCAACCGTGATCTTGCAGTACAAATGTCCTGTCCCAGCCGCCCGACGCCCAGGTGGGTCGGTCAACTGTTATCCTTGCATGACGGGTCGTAACAGAGAGATGGTGATGTTATTCAATTTTGAAACTAGCGGTGTGTATCTTCGATGAGGCATTTTGAGGTGGTCCGGAATTAGGTGTGGGACGTTATCATGGGCTAATGTATGACCCTTGTTTTCCTATATAAGCTCCCACGCAACATCATCATAGCCATTCCTGACATCAACCGCAATAGCATTAGGAATCTTGCCTGCCGCACTGCAGAGCCTTCCAACGACTAAGCCAAACGGGCTCTCTGAGAATTTTTTGTAGACTTTGGAGCTGACACGATCAACATCGAACTCGAACTCATCCGCATCCTCCAACTTTGTTTTCTTTCTGTAGTATCTGCACGCAGCCTTCACATCAGAGTTCGCCACTTCCAAGAACTTGACACGCGACAGTGATTGAAGGCTCAGGCCTGCTTTTTCTGTCCACACTGCCTGCAAAACTTCGTTGAGATGAAGCTTTGGGTTGGTCTTGTCTGCGCCATTGTATGCTGTTCTGATCATCATAGTAGACCCTGAAGTAATGATTCTGGTGACTGCAACTCTGCCACTCTCGTAGCCAGGGGTATACACAGACCATTCGCCGTCACGGTTTTCCACATCGTACTTTTCGTTTCCCTGCACACCCCTTGGATTAGATGATCAAAATAGACTCGTCGTTTTGACTCACAGCAAGCTATTGAGAAGTAAGCAACTTTCCCCTAGGCTTTGGGTTGATTGTGTAACATACTGCACTCAGCGCGGGCGCGAATAGGTTGGCTCCAAGCAGCAAGCCCGAGAGTGAAAACTTCATGGCGAGCAAAGTGAATGTTCCACAAAAGGGAAGTAGATTCAAGTTTTCAGCGTTGGTAAGGGACTTCCGTTGGTCAGAAGTGAAACTGGATGGCGAAATACCTCGTATAAGGAAAAGAAAAGTCACAGTACTTATAGCCCTCTTTGGAGGAGGGGGGGGGGGGGGGGGGGCGGACACCGAGATCTGATGTTTCCATTATGGCAGTTGTTTTCCTGATCTAATTGGAAAGGCCCCTGGCGTACGAACTCTATATTATTAGCCGAAATGCCAGATCAGCTGATCGACTCTGTTTCCACCACTTCGCGCTTGCTAGGTAGGGTGAGAAGCTGAACCTATCGGAGTCCGCAGTCGACCCATGTATCCCACTGTCGTGCGCAGCGTCCTCGCAGACGGCGATTTGTAGTACTGGTTTTCGGGACTCGATTATGGGCTCAACATATTTCTGTCTACAGAGATGCATTTCAAAAGTCTTTACCTGAAATGCCAAGAGAATCTGAGCAGAATCACCTAGCCAACAGTATCAGTACAACGAAGTACATAGAAATCTGACGCTGACTATACTTCTCCCTAGCTCCATACCTAAAGTGTGCCTATCTCCCCTGAGACATTCAGCTAGCCTCCCCTGAGAGATTGAGGCTTTAGCTTATTAACCCTCTAGAGTCCCTTAAAAATCTGATACGATGAGGTACCTTGAAGTCTTTCCTCTTGGAGTCCCTACTTCCTGTCCTACGATTTTGAGCAAGGTCTTTTGACCCGCACCTCTATATAATGTAATGGATTCCTTGTACTAAAAAGCCATGAGATTCTCAAACAGGGTCTCATCTCTCAGGGATTATCCCAGATGCTTCGTCTAGGGCCGCAATCAGTGTAGGCGTTCAGCTCAGACTTATAAAGAGGCCTGCACAGTCACAGCCAGTATTCAATAGGCTTTGGCTTCAAGGACTATACGCAGGGCAATTTATAGTTAATTAAAGTATTCTATTTTAGAATAATCTTTTAAAGTTTCATACTTACTATGGTATGATGGGTAAGTTTAAACTCCATAACAGGTAGTGTGGAGTTGTGACCCACGTATGAGAGACTCTCACTGGCCAGAATTATGATAGATGTGCACAAGAACCTCAAAGTACCGTCGCTGAAATAATCAAAAAAGCACGGCCACATTTACCTGACGAGGGGGTTAACCTTTGGCCTGATACTATAGTAGGAGGTAGGTGTTCTCTAGCTATTCTAAACATAGGCAAATAGGAACAGGCGAGGATAATCCGCCAGCCTAAGGCTACCTAGGGCTGTTAGTCATCATTACTACGCTAAAAACCCCTTACTTACACAAGGGGTAAAAAAATAGGGTTACTACCTAGAAAAAGGGGTTACTACCCTCTATTATAAATAGTATCACTTTTATATAAGTTACATAGTATAGTTAACTTTCTATCTCTTAAAGTAATAACTATAATAACATAATATAGTAATAAAAGTTAAATTAATTAATAGCCCTAAATTAAGTCTATATAATAATACTTTTTAATTTCTATTTATATAATAACTATAAACTTATATTACTACTATTATATAGCTATTACTTTTATTATTATTTACTATATATTACTACTTCTTCTTTACTTATCTAGGTAGGTAACGCAGAAAGAAGGCAGCTCTAACTAACTGCCCTAAAAGGCGTAGCCTAGCTAGATAGATATCTAGGCAGGCTAGGTTAGGGCTTAAGGCGGATAGACCATCTAACCCACAGGGCCAGATGGGCCGTGCGCCTAGGAATAACATAGATATCCTATAACATCTCCCCCTCCCTCTAAGGAAGGAAGAAAGCTTGCCTCCAAGGCTTAAGGCCTTATACTATTGTTTCTACTAGGCGCTTCTTTCCTCAGTCATTAGGTCCCTGGAATAATAGCAGAACTTAGTCTTATATAGAGGCTCCTCTTCTTCTTAAGAGCGTCTAACAGCCTAGCATCTTAAAAGGCTGCTACTAAGCTCTTTTTTAGTGTGTAAGCTATTATAGCGTCTAGTAGCGCTGTTTAAATAGGTTATGCTACTACTTAATATAAAAAGAAGGCAGCCCTAACTAACTGCCTTAAAAAGCGTAGCCTAGCTAGATAGATATTTAGGTAGGCTAGGTTAGGGCTTAAGGCAGATAGACTATCTAAATTATAGGGCTAGGTAGGCTGTACGCCTAGGAATAACATAAATATATTATAATAATAGGGGTATAAATAGGTAATTTTATAATATAATCCCTATAGCCCTCTAGGTATTTATTTTATCTTTTATATTATAATACCTTAACTTATATTATAAAGGGCTTTATAATAATAAAGGGCCTAGTGTTAGTGTTTCTAGTAATATATATATATATAGTACGTTACTTATTATAGTAAGTTACTTACTTCCTTACTTTACCTTAAAGGCTGTTTTTTACTAATTTTTAAAAAATTAAAATTAAGTCTAAAAAAGGTCTAGTTTTTAGTCTTAAGGTTTAATATAAGTTAGATTAATATATATAATAAGTAAGCGCACTAGATAAGTAAGCGCGCTACCTAATTATAGCTACCTTATAAATATAACTAAGAAGTAACTATAGAATAATAAAATTAATTTAAACTACTTAAAATCCTATTCTTTAGATATTTCTTTATTAAACTAGTATATTTATATATTATATCTAGTGTTCTTATAAGTACTATACTACTATTTACCTATTTTTATCCTTAATCTATAACTACTAATCTAATATATTTCCTCCTTAATCTAGGTTATTACCTCTCTTTATAACTAAATATCCTATATATTAGCTACACTAAGACTCCCTCTTTACCTTAAATAAGTTTTTTTTACCTTTTTATATTAGTTAAGTAGCTTATTCTCCTTATAAAAAGTTTTAACTTTAGCCTTTAATAAAGTATTTTTATATATAATTCCTAACGCTTTATTAAAAATATACTTAGTAGCTATTAATTTATATATTAAAAAGCTATTTAGATAATTAATAAAGTAATCCTTAATAAAAGTTTCTTAAGAAGATATCTTTATTATATTATATAGTGTTTAAGAAGTCTAAGCTAGTAGTGTTATTAGAAGGGATCCTAGAGGTGTTAGAGTATATAACTTAATATCTAGCTTTAATAGTATACTTTCTAGACTTAAAAAGGTAAGCCTTACCTCTCTAAAGCCTTCTTAAATATTTACTTTTATAAGAGCTTACTTAAAAGCGTTATAAAATACTAAAAAAAGGTTATCTTTTATAATATAAGTATTACCTTATTATATTTTATCCTTAATTTCTTAACTATATATTAGCTTTAAATACTTAAAACACTTAGAATCTAAAGACTAAAGTAAATAAAATAAATAAGGTAGTATATAAAAAGTAGTAATATTATTTTCCTTATAATATAGCTTAAAGTCTATAAAATAGTAACTTTTATACCTATTAATAATAAAAAAGTAATATTTCTTTTTTATATATAACTTTAAATATTAATTAAAGTACTAAAGCTAATTTAGGCCTTTTTTATTTATTATCTATTTATTTCTAGATATTATAATAACTTAGTTAGGTAAAAGACTAGATTCTATATACTAAGTAAAAAGAAGATTTTTACCTTTAATAATAATATATAATAAGACGTTATAACTAAATAAACTAATAGCCTAAATAACTATAACTTATTCTTAATTTCTAGACTATACTATTTTTATATTTAAATACCTTTTAAAGCTTATAATAACTATTTTAAATATAATTTAGCCTATTATAAAGCTAGTCTTATTAAAGTTATAAATATTAAACTTTATAATACTATATTTTATAATTATATTTACTATAAGGTAAAACTATATATTTATTACGTCTAGATCTTTATATTAAGCCCTCTTATAGTTATACTTATAAAA